TTTATCTTTTCACTTTTCAGGATGTTAGAGAAAATTTCTTCCAGCAGTTCTTCAACTATTTCCTCTGTGGACTTGTGTGATTCTTCTTGTTCTGGAATGCCAGTAATTCTTAAATTATTCCTCTTCCTGTTGTCCAACATGAATCTTAGACCTTTTTCAGACTTTTTAATCCTTTTTTCTGATTATTCTTCTATCTTAGTGGTATTGAGATATTTGTCTTCCAGCTCACTAGTTCTGTCTTCCATCTCTTCTATTCTACTCCTTTGCCCTTTCAGTGTATTATCTATTTCTGTTATTCTATTATTGTTTGAACCTCTTTATATAGGTTTTGAATTGTTTCCAATGCTATATCTATCTTATTTGATTGTTCTTGTAGTGCTTTCCAGTCTTATTTTTCTCAACTCCATTATACAGTGTTTTGAAACATTTTATAATCACTTTTTAAAATTCCTTTTCAGGTATTTCCAAGTCTTGCCCTCCTTGCAGAATGTAGTCCAGGTCTACCTCTAGGTCATTTGACTCAGACATTTTATCTTGTTTATGGACATGTGCTGATATGGTCATCTGCTTTTGCTTCTTGGACATGTTTAGTGTTTATCTGTGGCCTTAATACTTGTGTGTTTTGGTATTTTTTATGCTGATTTCCTCCAGGTAGATGTGATCAGGATGTGGGCTTCCCTTTTCACTCTTCTTATTGCTTTACTCAAGAGTAATTTTCATTGTCTGCCTCCCTGATGTATGGTATTGGTTCTTGCCTGGATTGTGGGGTTTTATAGGGTGTGATTGTAGCATGAGTACATGGCAGAAATTGCTGTCTCTTCTTGGGTAATATAGGGAGAGAAAGAGTCCCCCAAAGGTAAAACAAAAAAACACCAAACAACAACAAAAAATAGATTAAATACTGTAGTCTGTAATATAGGGAGAGGATGAGTCCCCTAAAGGTAAAAAAATAAAACAAAACAAAACAAAACAAAACCACCAAAAAACAACTGGAAAAAAACAAAACAAAACTAGATTGGATACTGTAGTCTCTAATCACAGAAAAGGGGGAGAAGGGAGAGAAGAGATAAAAAAAATCTGTAGCCTAATATATGTATGACTTTAATGTCCTCTTTCAGCTTCTTGCCTTCAAGGTCGCCTGATTAAATTCAAGATGCCACTGTTGGTTGCTATGCTGTTTTTCAGGATTTAATTTTCAACCTGTTTTGTTTTTAAACTTGTCTCTCCCACTCCACACCCCTTGTTCTGTACTTTTCCCTATTAGTAAACAGTTCAGGGCCGGCTGTGGCTGTTTTGAGATTTTAGCTTTAGCTTTTGAGCTTCTAGCTTTACATGCTGAGAGTATCTGTGCACATGCGTGGCAGAAGAACCCATCAGCGGTGGAGGTGAGGGGTGTCTACTCACTCAGGCACCCCTTCTAGTCACCAGAATGGAGGTGTGCAAACAGTGAGGGGCCAATGAGCAGATACCAAAAAAAAAATCAGAACAAAGCAAAACCATCAATGTATATTGCCTACCTTTGCTCCGAGGTTCCCATGGCATTATTCCTTGGCTGGTCTGCTTGCTCCCCCTCTTGGTCTTGCTGTTTGGTCTTGTCCAAGTTGTCAGCACCAGACTGTGGAGCCCAGCAGATTCTAAAGTACAAGATTTCTTACTTCCGCTACAAGTTCCACTAGCTATAAGCCTTCAAACTTTTTAAATATTCTTAGATATGCAGTTCAGAGTTTTGGAGCTCTTCCCTGAACCCGCTCGTCTGGTATTCTGTGGTGTTGCTGATGGAAAACTTCACTGCATCTATCCACCATCAAGCCCCACCTCTTATAATTTACTTTTGATAGAGGTTAACTTGTCCAAAGTCACAGTTAATATATGGTACAGAATTGGATTGACACTCATGCCTGCCAGATCTGGTTTTGAGAAAAATTGCCTAATGAAGACATCAATAAGGACCTATTAGAAAATTTTCATAAAGATAGAATCCAATGCAGCTGGATATATTAGGTAATTTATACTATGGGAAAAGTATTTTTTATTGAGTTCAGTATCTATATTTATAGTAAGGACATGTAGTCTAATCTATCAGTTCTTATTAAATTTTTGAGAACAGTTGTGAAACTTATCACTAGATCCTGTGTCCCAAGTAGCAGCAAGAATTTTTGATTAGATATGCATTAAAGTTATTTCATTTTATAGAGCCAATAATTGGATAGATTGAGCATTTTTGGGCAGAAAGGAAAAATGATGTGGTGGTTTGTCATCAATGAAACTACATAAAACCAAGAGAAAGATTGTAATTGCATCTAAATGCTACAGTTAATTTGCCTGTAATTGTGGCTTAGGAAAAACATGTAGGAAATATTGTTAGTGCCATCCAATTGGCCCAACTCATAGCAACCCTAGGACAAGAGCATGAAGTTCAGTCCTTCAATCCTGCACCAACTACTCCCATGATCATTTGATCAGACTGCTGTGATGCAGAAGATTTTGGGAAGTTGATCACCAAGCCTTTTTTCCTAGTCTATCTTAGACTGGAAGCTCTGCTGGAACCTGTCCAGCCTAAGCCTCCAATGACAGATGGTGGTGGCTGTACTGTGCACTGTTCAGGACTCCAAATGGAGATTCACACTGAAACTGATAATTCTAGCCCTGAATCATTAATGTCTCCTCATACAGGAGGCAGGTGTTAATGAAAGGATGTGAAACACAAATTCTATATTAATATTTTAACAAACTTTTGTGTGTATACCAGATTTCATGTTTCCCCTAAATGATTATTAACCCAGAAAACACAGAGACACATACCACAAACAAACCATTTTAACAGTTTTTATTGAAGTGCTGTCAAACTGGTTCCAACTCACAATAACCCTGTATAGGGTTTCCAAGGAGTGACTGGTAAGTTTGTTGATCTTTTGGTTAGCAGTTCAGTGCTTATCCTACAGCACCACACCAGGACTCCAATTTTAACAGTGTGATTTCTGAAAAGGAATAATAATTCCACTCTACAGGACCTACTTACTTTTGCCTACATTACATTTTCTAATCCTTCCCCTCTTAAAGATAAACTATGGTGAAGGGGTAAATGATAAAATATAAGTTTTTCAATTGTTAATTGCCAAATTTTTATTAGTTATTGAATTTTTTTTTGTTGTTGTTTCTTCACATTTACAAATAACCTGCTTTCTCATTCATCTGACTATTAACCATGATGGGCTTTACTACCATAATTAGAAGATAGCTTAGTACTCCAAATAGCAGCCATATCAACAAAATGGTTGATTGTTTCTAGAATGGAGTAATCTATGCCCAGTCTCTCCTCACTATGGGTCACTAACATTTACAGAAAGCCTGCTATGTCCAAGGCATTCTGCTAGGCACTTTCTTAAGTTGTCCCAAACCATAAGCTTACATATAAATGAGCTGGGATTCAATTCAGGTCTGTTTGATTCTAGGGCACTTTCAATTGCTGAGCATAGTTAAATTTTAAAAAATCTCTTGTTGCTCTGTAGCTGTACAAAAATTTCATATAGTATGAAAAAAAAAGTTGCTTTAAGTTAAAATATCTAAAAATAGTTTGAGGTAATTTTGCTACCCATTTTTACTTTCCTCAGCTCTAATTCTTTCCGTTATAGTTACCTGATCATACTTTGCTGTCCAACAGATTATTTAACCTTTCAACAACTTTGAATGCGTGTGCTCCTGTATCTACACACTTTGGCTGCCTAGAACAGAAGGCAGTTGGGCCATGTATGAGGAAGTATGATTTGTCATGAACAAATGGTAGTAAAGAATGGCACTAACATTTTAAAATCATATGTTAAGAGAAAAAGGTTATTAAAAGTTTGCTTTATTTTTACGTTGAATCAAGCACTAGCTACAGTTAATTTATTTTTGCCTTCGAAACGTTAACATGGTTAGCATTACTGTATCAATAACCAGATAATAAATCAAACTAGGTCCCAGTGGTTATGTCCACATATAGATTGTTCAGGTGATCAGGAGCTCTTTTACTTGTTTTCTTTAGCTTTTAGTTCTTGATTATATCTATAAAGAAAAGAGAAAGAAAAATAATCATTAACTATAATAAATACGTTTATTATAAGGGAATGGAAAGCGAGTCCCTCTTTAGCACTAGTCAGAAAGCTATTTACTATGATCCTATCTTCCCAGATACTTCAGCAGAACAGACAAAAAGTAAAGTAAACCAAGGAGTTCATTCATATCTGATTTGTGTTTCAAATATGATCCAAACTGCCAGAAAGTTTTGACAGCTTAACTGACATATTTACATATTATTATATTATGGTGAAGTATATATATGACAAAGCATTTACCATTGCAATCGTTTTTACATGTATAACTAACTTAGTGACATTGATTATGGTCATGTACAACCATCACCATTTAAATTAAATAATTATTTTATGGAATATTTCATTCTTGAACTACGTAAGAGTGAAACAAACATATGAACGAACATATGTGTAAAATGTAGTTATTTAGAACTTTTAACTTTACACTCACAAAGGACTTTTCCTAAGAGTAAAATCAACTGAGAACATGTTCATATCTAATCATCAAAATTGAAATTTAAGGCAGGCAAACAGGTTTAACTGATTATATACATTAAGTTTACTGAAGCTAAGGACTGTTTTCTTAAGTCTCATTAATCCAAAGAACAATTAACCACAAAATCACAGAGTATTTCTCTCTTATAATAGCCTGGATTCATTTATTATTTTCCCCAACTTATAAAAGAGAAGAGAATAATAAAAGAGTCAAAAATTATCCACACTCCAGTTATGCTAAAGTGCCCGTCCACATCCACAGCTGATGACACTGAACGTGCACGTGAAATGATTCTGTCGGATAGAAGAGTGACAGTAGATTATGTGGCAAATCATTTGCAAATCAGCCCTGACTCTGCCTATAAAATAATCCAAGACACACTTGGGTTTTTAAAAGTTTGTGCAAGATGGGTACAGAATTAATTCATAGAAAAACATAAACAGAAGCGTTTGGACATCTGCAAACAAAATTTGGACAGATACTCAAAAGAAGGTAAAAGCGAATCATTCTAATACATTGTTAGTATATCAATAGGAGCTCTGGGTAAACGTCTGCCTGCTAACCAGAAGGCTGGTGTTTCAAACTCACCAGTTGTTTCTTGAGAGAAGGCTGTGGCAGTCTGCTTCCATACAGATTTACAGCCTCAGAAACCTCATGGGGTGGTTCTACACTGTCCTGTGGGGTTGCTATGAGTTGGAATTGACTTGGAGACAATGGGTTTGGTTTTTCATATTAATACGTCATAAGCCCTTGGGTGGTGCAAATGGTTAAGCACTCAGCTACTAACTGCACGCTTGGCAGTTTGAATCTACCCAGAAGTGCCTCAGAAGAAAGACCTGGCAGCTAGCTTCCAAGAGTCACAGTCTCGAAAACCATATTGATCATTTTGATTCTGCACACATTGGGTTGCCATGAGTTTGAAATAAACTCAACAGCTACTGGCTTTAGTTTTTAAAAAAAAAGAAAAAAAGTTCAAAAGTCAGCCATCAGCTGGAAAACTGATGCTTACAGTTTTCTGGGATTCTCATGGGCTGGTGTTGGAACACCATCAAGAAAAAGGTTTAATAATCAATGGCGTTCATTACAGTGAGATGCTCACGGAAGTGCCGAAACCTAAACTTCAGTTTAAACAGAGGACTGTTATCCAAGGGCATTATGATCTTGCATGACAACGCACATCTGCACACACTGTTGACACTCTGCAAAAACTTTGTTTTAAGGTGTTGAAGCATCCTCCCTAAAGTCCTGACCTTGCTCCATCAGACTTTCAACTGTTTGTCCTCTGAAAGCAGCCCTTTGAGGACCAAGATTCATTTATGACAAAGAAGTGAAGACAGTGGTACATTTGTGACCCACAGCTCAGCCTAAATATTTTTAATAAGGTCATAAAAAATCTTATTGATAGATGGACAAAGTGTGCTGAAAAGCAAGGAAATCATGCTGAAAAATGACACATTTGTCTTTTCTAAAAGTTGATTAAATTCTACAGCCAGAGTGCAGATACTTTTTGACTCACCCTCATATAAGAACAAGAAGGAACTCATACTATGAAGCCTATTATACTTCCTAGATTTTCCAAAAGATACTGATATCAACTACTTGGTCGTGTTTTTTCCATAAACTACCAAAATTCTCAACTGGAATCTAACATTTATCCTTCTAATGAAATCTCCTAATCTGCTGTTGGGTAATATTAGAAATCTGTCATTTAGCATTCCAATGTCTCTATAATTATGAGGTTCAAATGAAACAGTACTGGTGTAGTGCTGTGGGTTAAGTGCTGGACTGCAAGATTGGTTTGAACCACAAGGTTGGAGGTTTAGGCTCACCAGCCGCTCCTCAGAAACCCTATACAGGGTCAGTATGAGTTGGAACTGACTCAATGGTACTTAACAACAACAACAGCATGAGAAATATACCTTGTGAATAAAATCACTGTAGAAATTAAATATTTCATTACATAAGCTCTAAAAACAGTTATAAATCTATTCATAATATGGTAGGTAATTATGAAATGATTAAATCATAAAAGTATTAGTAAAGCTAAGGATAGTTAACATGAATAAAGTTAAAATGTCCTACACTCTAGAGATACATTCCGAAAAGAAGCTAAGTTATATCTTAATATTTTCTACTCTTTATTGCGAGTGTTCAATTTTTTTCTGCCAAACATAGCTGTTATTTATCACACTGGTTTGTCATTTATGAAAGTTCCATGATTTAATGAAAGCCAGAAGCTGTCATGTATGAGTGCATTGCAGGGTGTTAATAGTCACTGACAAATAATGCTAATCACACTATGTAAACAGTTTTAAAATATCATCCAGTATTTGTGGATCACTTTCCAATGACTCCAGTAGTCTCATTCTAAACATCATTTCTAATATTATAAAACTTAACACTTAAAGTCCATTTTATTATACACAACAGAAACTTAATGATAAAACACTGATACAGAAAAGTGCTTAAAATCACAAATGCATGTATTGTCTTAGTAAGAGATTATACTTGTGTACATACAGGAAATATGTAGATAGTTATGAAAACTATATATACACACATACTGTTTGATATTTTTCTATTAGATTATTGTTTTTCAAACTCAGGATTTAAAGTTATCAAGACTGGAGTACAGAAATTGGCCTTGTTGCTTCTTATGATAGCAGCTAAGTATGGTTTATATGCTAATATGAACAGATGGTATACCTATCCTCTGAACCCTTAAAACATATGAAGATGCCAAAAACACCTTGAGATTAAAATTTTGGAAATGACAGTGCCAGATGATGTATACAAATGGAATATTTTTCCCATGGTGGATAAAATATTTTTTAAATGGTAATAACAAATAGGTTAGTAAAATATAAGCACTCAAGCATAATAAAGACTACCTTGTGAACACCAAGAAAAATATATTTAGTTAAGAATCTTACCTAGGATGGTATAAGATGGAAAGGCAATAAATAAAAAATAAAAATAAATTACAACTGAAGAAGAGAATATTCTGCTAATCTTACAATTCCATTTCTATTTAAAAATTAAAACCACAAATTCCTCTAATAAAACAACCAAAAAATGTTTAAAAATACTTGGGAATAGTTAAAATGGAATAAAGTGAAGCTATATAATTTATTTTAAAAAGCTAAAATTGGAAAATTTCTAGAAATGTTTATTAGTGAAATGGTTAATCGACAGTTATGTCATCAGGGAGACACACTCTCAGAGTGAAAATCCGTAACAGACAGCTATGTAATTTCTACATCTTTTAGAAGCAAAGTGTGGCTCAGTAGAGCAAATGGAGAGCATCTGAGACTATGAATGGACTGTATTGTTCCTTTGTTTTTAATCTGATCATATTTATTCACAAGGCTGCAGGTAGCAAGACTGGCTAAACAGTGTTGCTATTATAACATTTATAAAACTGAAGTTATAGAACTGTTTAAAAAAAAATGGCAGAAACACAATTCCTTAGGACTTCAAATTAGTGAAAAACGTAGAAGTATGGCATTTTGCAAGAGATGAATATACTGAATAAATCTATTCTAACTTTTATGTGATTATAATAATAATGTAACATCCTGATTTTTTCCAGAGATGTTAAACTTCTGCTTCAGGTACATTCATGTTTCAGTACTGTAGAAAAGTCTTTTTTTTTTTTTTTTTTTAAATTATCTAGGTAGCTGCTGAAACAGGTGTTTTTAAAATCTTTGGGATGCTTACCTCCAAATTCGAAAGAGCTGAGAGGCTCCTGCTGCTCCCACAAAGAAGTTAACAGCAAACAGACTCCAGTTTTTTGGAATAATGACAAGTGAGTATCTTGACCAAATAAGCCCTGTTTGAAAAAAAAAAAAAAAAAA